CAGGATCAGAGCATCACCTACACAAGCTGCCTTACTCAGTGCAACTTTTTCTTGACTTTTGCTGGTTTAGAAAGTTGTCTCTTGGCAGTGATGGCCTATGACTGCTATGTGGCCATTTGTCAGCCCCTAAGATACCAGGTAATCCTAACCCCTGATCTTTCTGTCCTACTAGTTCTACTCTCCCTGCTCATTAGCACTGGGCATGCCTTGCTCCACACTCTGATGGCGCTGAGGCTGTCCTTCTGCACAAATGTGGAAATCCCTCACTTCTTCTGTGAACTTGCTCAGATCATCAAGCTCTCCTGCTCTAATATCTTTATCAATACTCTTCTGGTATATTCAGCAGCAAACATATTCTTTGGTGTTCCTATTGCTGGAATTATTTTCTCTTATATTAAAATTGTATCTTCTGTTTTCAGAATACCCTCAGTTGGGGGAAGGTATAGAGCTTTTTCCACCTGTAGTTCTCACCTCTCTGTTGTGTTCTTATTCTATGTGACAGGTTTTGGTGTGCACTTGAGTCCTACTGTTGTTGACTCTTCCACTAAGAATGCAGTGGCTTCAGTGATGTACATTGTGATCCCTCAAATGATGAACCCCTTTATCTACAGCTTGAGGAATAGAGAAATGAAGATAGCTCTGAGGCATCTCATTAGTGGGAAGTCTTTTTTATTCTTGTGTTCATAGCTTTGAGTTTGGGTGTTTAGAATGTGATAAAGTGACAAGAATGCAGGTAAGCCAGACAACATGAGTATTAAATGACCAAGGTCTTTCAAAATGACTGTATGATATGATGTCTAAGCACATTTCATTTCAACTTGTAATTTAAGCTTCTTTTAGATTCAAACAATTGTGTGTTACTGTCAAATGATTTTCATATTTAAACTCTATTGTGCTGCTGTAATTGGTTGGAAAAAAATCATGAATTAAGGTTTCAATTTGAGCAATAATTTTAGGTTCATTTCAGGAAATGCAATGCTGGACTACTGGATAGAACAGGGATGAGTATGAGAGAGTGTCTGTTGATATCTGGAAATGAGCTTCTGCATGATTCATAGTTGGAGTTATAGTTTGTGAGTTTTAACACAAATGAAGCTAATGATCTGAACTTGCATGCATATTTAAGTAATTACTGAGATATTCCCTGTAAACGGACCCCTCTGAAGGTCATATTAACATCTCCCACCCATAGCCGGGCATGTTGGTGCACACCTGTAATCCCAGCCCTCAGGAGGCTGAGGCAGGAGGATCACTGTGATTTTGAGACCAGTCTGGGCTACATAGTGAGTTCCAGGTCAGCCTCTACTACATAGTGAGACCCTACCCCCCCAAAAAAGAAAGAAAAATTTCCCCTATTAGTCTTCATTACTTATATAATTATGCATTTATATTATGTGAATACTTTGAAGCATCTTTGAGACATTAGAGATTTTGAACTTCATCAAAGAAAATACCTTCGTTTCTCATAAGAAAAATAAATATTTACACTTATATGCTTTGATCATAAAGGGAGTTATTGTACATTACTATGAATTTAGAAATGGGTCCAGCATTAGAGGTTCATTGAGCCCTGCATGATGTGGCTGCTTAATAGTGTTATTTTCCTCACTGCCACCAGTTCCTGTACAATACTTTGTATCTGAAATATCCCTAAAGTTACAAATATTAAAAAAAATGTTCTCCAGTTTCTGATGCTTGAGGGCTGCTTGCACTTGTAACAGGTAGAGCAAACTAGGAGGAAGTTAGGTACTGTGGCTGAGCCCCAGAAGGAGCTAGTGAGAAGCAAAACCATCCCTCCTCTCTTCACAGATGCCATGAACTAACTGAATTCTATTGATCTGTCATCACTTTCTCCTTATCAAAATATTCTCCCACATCACTGCCTCATATGCAATGAGCCCAGCCAACAATTAAGAGCTAAAACTTAAGTAAAATCATCTCTCTTTAATTTGATTAGTTCATATACTTTTTAAAGTAATGCGAAGATCACTAACATACAAGGTGGCTTAGATTAAAACTAGACCCTTTTTTTTCACCATGTACTAAATTAAAATCCAAAGTGATTAAAGATCTAAATATTAAAGCAGAAATATTAAACTTGCTGGAAGTTAAGTTAGGCAGAACTCTAGAAGACATTGGCATAGGAAAAGACTTTATGAACAAGTCCTCAGTAGCACGGGAACTAGCAGATACAATCAACAACTGGGATCTCATCTTATTAAAAAGCTTCTGTACTGCCAAAGAAACCATCAGCAGAACTAAGAGACAACCTACAATGTGGGAAAAAATTTTACCAGCTGTTCCTCAGACAAAGGACTGTTATCAAGAATATATAAAGAACACAAAACAATCACCCCCCCAATATAAAGACTCAATTCAAAAATGGGCATCCGAAATGAACAGACATTTGTCAGACAAAGAAGTAAAAGCAGCAAGTAAATATATGAAAAAATGTTCCATATCACTGATAATTTGAGAGATGCAGATGAAAACAACACTGAGATTCCACCTCACCCCACAAAGAATGGCTGCTATCAAGAAATCACACAATAACAAATGTTGGCAGGGTACTGGGGAGAAAGGAACCCTTCTCCATTGTTGGTGGGAGTGCAGACTGGTGCAACCACTATGGAAATAAATATGGAGATACCTCAAATAGCTTGGACTGGAGGTTCCATTTGACCCATCCATTCCACTGCTGGGTATCTTTCAAAAAGAACTAAAATACTCATATCGTAGAGAAGTATGAGCACCCATGTTTATAACAACACCATTTGTAATAGCTGAAACTTGGAAACAGCCCATTTGCCCATCCGTTGGAAACTGGATAAAGAAGATGTGGTTTTTCTATAAAATGGAATATTACTCAGCCATAAAGAACGAGAAAATTGATTCATTCATAGGAAAATGGATACATATTGAAGATATACGCCTAAGTGAAATAAATAAGGCCCACATGTGTAAATACCGAATAGTCTGTCTGGTGTGAATAACCTGCAATATTAAAGAAGATCCTAATAAGATAACTGACATTTAGAAATGGGAAGAAAGGAGATAAAGGTTTAGGGAAGGTGGGATGGGTAGGGGAAGGGTAATAAGGGATAAGAAAAAAAGTGAGATAATGAAAAGATGGAAATAAAGTGATTGTAGATGGGGAGGGGAGGAGGGGTTGAAGGGAGGGCAGGGACAAGGGGAAAAAATGAGAACCAAGACATGTCATGTAGAGGTACAAATTCCCAACAATGAATGTAACTGTACTGTATCCCTAAAATGTACCAATAAACTCAATTAAAGCTGAAAAAATACTAAAAAACAAACAAAAAAAAAACAACAAAAAAACATACCAAGCGGCTGCAAGATACGCCAGTGTCATACGCAGCACGATCCCATAAAAAGAAACCTGTGTACACTCTGCTAGGATAACTAATAGATCTCTCTATGGATAACCCAGAAGACACCTCTGTCTTGAGTTGAATGCTGGGCCTGAATATCATACTTTCACACCCTTATTCTGCTCACTTGTGATTATGCTTCTTTGTGATAACAGAATACAGGCTACTTACATCAACAATGGATTATATTTTTGCAGTGAATCTTCTTTTTTTCCATGGTAATGGGAATCTTACTCAGGACCTTGTTGTGAAGCAGAAACGGGACCACCACACCAAATCCCTAGCCTATGAATGATCTTCTTAGGCTGAATTACTTTTATCAGTGCTAAATATAATTCTATATATTATTGTAAGATAAACAATAGTAGAGAATAAAATTGGATTAATGCAACAAGTTTTGATTATGCTATTACATATTTCTCCTAAAAACTTAAGTTTGTTGGACTGTGATATACCCTCACCTCATTATATGTGTCCATGTAAGATTTTACATTGTATTTTAAACTTCATAATCATTCAATGTAATTAAAACACACTTTAAGCCACAGTTGCAAGCAAATAGTTCCTGAATAGGACTCCAAAAGTACAATAAATAATCACCTCATTATATGTGTCCATGTAAGATTTTACATTGTATTTTAAACTTCATAATCATTCAATATAATTAAAACACACTTTAAGCCACAGTTGCAAGCAAATAGTTCCTGAGTAGAACTCCAAAAGTACAATAAATAATACCAACACCAACAATCAATAAGCACGATGCCATCAAAATAAAAAGTTTCTGCATAGCAAAGGAAACAGTTAAGAGTGAAGAGACAGTAAAATGCATGGTGGAACAAGCTTTGCTTACTATCTTTCTGATAAAGAATTAATATCTGTAAAATATAAAAGACTCAATAAAAGCAAGTTTCCACACACACACAAACACACACACACACACACACACAAAGAAAAACAGTTTTTTTTAAAAAGAAAACAGTTCTCCAATACAAATATGAAGGGATCCACAACGAGCAACTGGTGTTAGAAATCCATGAGTGAAGCTCAGAGAAGCTTCACTAAAAAATTCAAGTACTCAAAAGTGGGGGAGGTAAACATACCCAAACATGAGGAATCAATCTGAAGTAGAAATGCACTTGGTCAAATCCAACATTAAGTGGGTTAGAAATGGAAGCAAGTGTCCCTTTGATATGCAACATCCCATACATCCCATGCCACCTTAAGACTGTTTCTCACATCCTAATTAAAAGAGCAGAGGCCAGAGTACTGATAGATTCACAACTTGCTTTATTCATACTCGGGGAGTGGGAATACAGTGAGGGAGAATCTGACAGATTAGAGAATCAAAGAAACTAAAACTAGAGTGTTACACAGGAGTTGGAGACTCAATGACACCCTCAGGTTCCTGGACAAGTGTAGAACAAGTACACAGCATTAACTGGGGGCCAAGAGCTGGCTGCTGGGAGAACTGTGCCTCTGAGAGCTTCAGCTTACACTAGTGAAGTGCAGGTTACAATTGGAGTTGTAGCACAGGCAAACTCCCACTACTCCCCCAAAACTTGGGAATTCTGTGTCCATGTTATATCCTGCCCATTCTCCATAATTCAGTAAAACCATGAAATATTCCCTACTGGCCAAGACTTGCTGAGCACCAGGAGCTCTCAGTGTCACAGAGCTAGTGGGTGGGGAAGTGCAGAATGTAACTGGCTAAACATGGTGGAGAAAGGAGTTACAATAGTGCAGGGCCTATGCAGGCACTCCCTTATTATTCTAAAATATAGGGAGTTTTGTTCATCTACAACACTCTGCAACTATCTACCTTTTGGTGGAAGTAAGGAAACTCCCTGACACCCCACCACAGAGGTTAGGGGTAGGAAAGTGACAATACTGTGAATGGTGTAAGAAAATCAGATAGCAATAGAGACTTGTGACATAGCTAGAACACCAGAGAGTATGGACACAAGTATGACAATATAGAAAAAGAGCTCAGGGTTGCAAGGATTCACAGACTTTAAAGGACATTGAGAAAAAGATGAAATTGTTAAATCAAGTTTTAGTGTACATTATTAATATATAGTTTTCTCTGAAGATGCAACACAGAGACTGGGTTGGATCTTATTATGCTGAGTTGGTTAAAGTGGTGTATAAATATAAAAATACAATCAACCCCAAGATAACATCATATACAAGTATACACTAACTAAACAAATCCATACTAGTAATATAATTTATCCATGCTACTTGATTTTTTAACCTTCAGTGCATGTGCACCCACACGCACCCACGTGAAAC